AGCGCAGCAGTACCAATGCCCGGGTCGGGCTGGAAACAACGGTAACCCTCATTCTCCTCACTATAATCCACAACATACATAGCAGCAAGGATAGCATCAAAATCAAGATCAAAGATCGCTACACCAGCCCTGAGAAGCTCATCCCAGCGAGGGATCTCACTGGCCCCAGGGAACAGCTGACGCCAAGCGTCCGTCAGGCGGCCAAAGCAGCGCTGGGTGGCGTGGGCACCCCCACACTGCTCACCCGCGCGGTCGCTGGAACGAAGAACGTAGGTGCAGGGACCAGTACCCCCACCCCTCTGACGCCCAGCGTACCACTCACGAAGCTGCTGAGGCGGAGGGATGTCCCGCGAGCGCTGCTGCTGCTGCCTCTACGAGCGCTGGCCACCACCACCGCCGCTACGCTGCTGGGTACCACCTCGACCAGCTCCACCACCTCCACCACCACCGCCTCCTCCGCTGCCGCCTCCACCGCCTCCACCTCCGCCGCCTCCACCTCCGCCGCTGCCTCCACCACCACCGCTGGCACCACCACCACCGTCTCCGCCGCTGCTGCCACCACCACCACCACCCCCGCCACTAGTCCCGCCGCCACCCCCACTCCCTCCGCCGCCACCGCCGCCACCGCCACCGCCCCCTCCAGCTCCACCCGCGCCCTTGCCCCCCTTGCCCTTGCTGGAGCGACGTCTCCCACTAGGGGCAGACGCCGCGCCGACCGACTCAAGACCAAGCAGGTCGGCAGCAGCAGCAGAGGCAACAGAGGGCAGCAAGGGGGAAGGAGAGCACCCCTCAAAGATGGGGGTGCGAGGGTCACCACGAGAAGCACCTACAGCGACTATGCTCTTCTCCGCTGCAAGGAGGGCCTTCTCGAGAAGGTCGACGGTGAGGGTGGTGGGACAGACTGCGAGAAAGTGGTCCCTGACGACGCGAAGGGAGTCAGGGAGGCGCGCGACTACGTAGTAGAGAGCGATGTACATGGGGGGGGGGTTCTTAGCGCAGAACTCAGCAGGAAGGGCGGCGCGGTAGCGAGTGTCACTAGTGCGGAGGTGCGTAATGAGGTCAGCGACAGTGGGAAAGGCAGAGAGGTCAGGAAAGAGGTAGGGAAGCATGAGACGGCTCAGTGCATCAGTGGCAGGGGAGGAGTAGCGCGCAACTACAACGTCGTACAAGGTCTGAGCACTCTTGTACTGACTAAAGTGCGCACGCTCAGAGGTAGGGAGGTGGCGACGCACAGCAAGACGTGCAGCAGCATCGCGGGTGGCCCACTTAGAGCGGACAGTGGGATCAGCATCAGTAGCAAGAGCAGGAGAGGCGCCAGAGGTGAGGTCAAAGAGAGAAAGGTCGTCAGCCCTGTCGCACTGTAAGAACAGCTGCAGGTCGTCTAACCAGACCTCAAAATCAATGGCGCGACCCTCAGCGTCAAAAGCTAGGACACTAGGGGTAGCCATGGCGACGACAGCGACGCAGTGCAAGCAGTAGGGAAAGAGCTCGCAGTGTCAGTGGGACTGTGCTCACCAGGCAGGGCAGGTCGTGTAGCTATGCAGAAAGGCGGCTCAGCGACCAGGCGGCTCGGGTGCACAGCGGCTCGACTCCCGGGCGGCTCGGCGCAGGGCGGCTCGGCTCCCGGACGGCTCGGCGGCTGGGCGGCTCGGGTGCAGGGCGGCTCGGCTCCCGGGCGGCTCGGCGGCAGGGCGGCTCGGGTCCCGGGCGGCTCGGCGTTGGGCGGCTCGGCTCCCAGGCGGTTCGGCTGCTGGGGCGGCTCGGCCGGGAGATGCAGGGGCGGGGCCGTCAGGTGCAGCGGCGGGTCGACCGGTGCAGTGGCGGGCCGGCAGGTGCAGCGGCGGGCCGGCAGGTGCAGCGGCGGGCCGGCAGGTGCAGCGGCGGGCCGGCAGGTGCAGGCGGCGGGCCGTAGGGTGCAGCGGCGGGCCGTAGGGTGCAGCGGCGGGCCGGCAGGAGCAGCGGCGGGCCGGCAGGAGCAGCGGCGGGGCCGTCAGGTGAGGCGGCGGGCCGGCAGGAGCAGCGGCGGGCCGTAGGGTGCAGCGGCGGGGCCGTCAGAGGCGGCGGGCCGCTGGGTGCAGCGGCGGGCCGGCAGGTGCAGCGGCGGGCCGGCAGGAGCAGCGGCGGGCCGGCAGGAGCAGCGGCGGGGCCGTCAGAGGCGGCGGGCCGTAGGGTGCAGCGGCGGGCCGTAGGGTGCAGCGGCGGGGCCGTCAGAGGCGGCGGCGGGGCCGCAGCAGTAGAGGCGGGGCCGCGTCAGGGGAGGCGGCGGGGCCGCGTCAGGGGAGGCGGCGGGGCCGCGTCAGGGGAGGCGGCGGGGCCGCGTCAGGGGAGGCGGCGGGGCCGCGTCAGGGGAGGCGGCGGGGCCGCGTCAGGGGAGGCGGCGGGGCCGCGTCAAGCAGGCGGCGGGGCCGCGATCAGGAGAGGTGGCGGGGCCGCGTCTGAGCGACAGCGGGGCCGCGAGGGAAAAGGCGACCCGAGGGGTCGCTAAAAAAAAGGCGCGCCTCGGGGCGCGCTTCGGTGGGCCCTAAAAAACGGTCCTAAGGCAAGACCCGCTCTATACCATGTCAGAATCAAGGAAAACAGGAATGAAATGACTAAGTCAGAGTTGGGTACAAATACAACCCTAGAAAGCTGTACCCCATATGTGCTACCCCACTATAGCCTACAAACATGCATCAGTTATAATACTCTGACACACTGTACAAATGATGCTCATTTGACTAACCCTATGTTGCCTTGTGAAGGGGGCTTTTAAGTGCTTCTCGAAGTATCGTGAATTTCGTCAACATCGCACCTAGCCAAAAAGGGTTGATAAGAAAATTGTAACTCCTCATTGACTGTTTGACTTCGGTCTCTTCAGTTTGACTCTGATTTCTGAGGTTATTATTGGTTCATAGTCAGTGCAACTTGCTTAGGGTGCTTGTAACGTGGGTGCAACTGGCGGGCGCAAAATACACGAGTGCAAGCTTTCTGACGTGTATAGAGCAGCATTTCAGCAACATGAGTATTGCATTGTCCGTTATTGAAACTGTATCGGTGGCGTGCTTCCCGTTTCATCAACTGCATTGTCCATGGGGGTACACCCCTTAAACGTACACCGTGGGGGTACAGACCCTTGGAACAGACTTTCTTGCACTGTAGTTCACTGCGTTATTGAATAGCTGGTGAGCGTTTCGAAACCCAGTCACGAATAGAGGTAAGCATTAACTTCAGTCACGCCACCCCTATTCCATCCTCGGTCTTTTTTTTTCTTTTTTTTTGGCTTATAGGTGAGCCCTGGAGGAAACCATCCCCCTTTCCTATGCTGAACTGCTGTGAGCGCGGGCGCGAGCCATTTGATACCTACCAAGCGACCACTTCGTTCCCGCACTCGCGCTCTCTTTCTAGACTAACGAAGGCATACTTGGCAGATGCTTTCGCAGTGGTTCGTTCTTCACTGATCCAAGATTTTCACCTCTGTCAGTGAAGACCGGTTGTCCCCGGCCACCCCGATTAGCCCCTGGTCCATGCGGGGGTTCGCATTTCACAGATCTTAGACTTTCACCTCTAGTAATGAAAGGCGGTTACAGCTTCAAGTGAAACTGCATCTTTGTTGTCGACTGATAGTCCCTGAGTTTCAGGGTGTAAATTGTATCGAGCCAGAAGCGGTATAGGGCACCTTCAAAAAAGAGGGTAGGGGGTGTGCAATTACACCTAGTCCGCGGTATTTTAACCGTCGATATCTTAACCGCACGAGAGTACTTCTCCTTGGTCAAACTTTTTTATACGAGTAGTTTGGAAAATTTGTAAGGTTAGAATCTAGCATAGCTTTTGTGAGACGACGGCAGTCAATACCTGGTCAACGCCAATCCGCTTTCTATTTCGGAGCACTAAGTGTGAGTTTCTTCATAATGAAATGCTTCTGGCTACAAAACAATAGCCTTGAAGTCTCTTGGTGCCCATCTCATTACCCGAAAACGACAAAGGGTGTTTGAAGCGAAACAGTTCACGTGGTTAAAATACCGCGGACTAGGTGTATCGAGAACAGAGCTTATTGCAGAGTACAGCGAATCAGCCACCCAGTTCACGCGTAATGTCTCGGTCGCATCTGTGCAGTGTACGACGATCTTATTCCGAAGATGTGGCCCGTTGGATGGATGCATCCCGCCCAGATTTCAGGAACTGGGAGACGCAATTCACACAGCTACGTTTGCATTCTACGGCGGAGATTTTGAGATGCCCAGACCAGTGGATACCTTTTCAATATCCACGTCATCGACCCGTCACACCACAAAGCCTGGAGTTTCACTTTGATCACGTGTTGGGCCTTGATCAATGCCCTCGTGCCCAGTACGACACATGACAAATGTGGATGCCCATATGCCAGGACTTTCGTACACTGCAGTTTCAAGAGCATCATGGGTTCATTTCTACATGCTGTACACCGTCGCATCCAGAAACTGAATCTTAAAGCCAGGGTCTCATGTAAGCTAAGGAGCCATCGACTGCACAGCACTTGAAGCTAGGTACACCTAACTACCGCTATTGTCAACCCCGAACCCTTGCATTGATCCCTCGTTTTGAAGATGACCTGCACGCATTCGACTATTTTAGTTGGGCGCTTGATGAACATGGGCTATGAAGCGCCCCGATTTTCAATGTTAAGAAACGCATGAAAGCAAATCTGAGACAATTACCGCTTGTGTGAAGGGGCACTCTTGCTGTTGCGAATTCCCTTGTGCCACTTCTACTCATTTTGGGGGTCTGGAACTAGCTCACTGTGAAATTTCTGACGCCCACACAACCCTCGGTCAAAGATTTAAAGCCCGAGGTCAGCATGGTTTTTGGGAAAAAATTCGAATGGCTTTAACGGGTTTGGCGAAAGACAAAAAACCAAGCGAGGACGAAATCAGCTAACGAGCGGATGGGATATTCGTCACTCATCTGTGCGACACCTGTCTCCTTGGGGTGAGAAGCCCATAGCTGGTCACATCAAATGCGTATGTCTGACAGAGCAATAATCCATGATAGGTAAGCGCGATAGGGAATCATCCCGAGAGCGCATCGTTGTAGGAAATCGAAAGGTTTTAGGGAACTTCACAAGCGCATGTACAAACTAGTCATTGTGGGAGCGCACCTCTCAGTGCGTCAGAAGTCGCGCCACCCCTCTCTTTATCGAGCTTCTCCTCCCCTCGTCGTGCCTCCCCTCGTCGCGCCTCCCCTCCCACCGTCGCGCCATACAATGTCACGCCACCCGTCGTTTCGTGGGGCATCCCCTTGTGCCTCGCTTCCCGTCGTACTTCGGCGCCTCCCCTCCCCTCGTCGCGTAGTAGCGCTCCCATCCGATAATCGCTCTCCCATCCGCCCGTAGCTCTCCCTTCCGCCCGTCAGCGCGCCCGAGTCGCGAGCTTTTCCTTCCGCCCGTCAGCGCGCCCGAGTCACGAGCTTTTCCGTCCGTCCGTCGCTCGCCAATCCGCACGTAGCGCTCCCCTCCGCCCATCGCTCTCCCTTCCGTCTTTCGCTGTACCTTCCGCCCGTCGCCCTCCCTTCCGCCCGTCGTTCTCCCTTCCACCGTCGCCCTTCTTTCCCGTCGTCGTCCACCCTTCCGCCCGTAACCCTCCCTTCTTCCCATCGCCATCCCTTCTTCCCATCGCCATCCCTTCTTCCCATCGCCATCCCTTCTTCCCATCGCCATCCCTTCTTCCCATCGCCATCCCTTCTTCCCATCGCCATCCTTCCTTCCCATCGCCATCCCTTCTTCTCATCGCCCTCCCTGCCGCTCGTTGCAATCCCTGCCGCTTGTCCCCTCGCTTTCCCCGTCAACCTGTCTCCTTGTCCGCCGTCGCAAAGGCGAGGGTTCCCTCTCTCCCTGTCTCCTTGCTTTCCCCGTCTCCTCGCTTTCCTCGTCTCCTCGCTTTCCCCGTCTCCTCGCTTTCCCCGTTCCATCAAATGCTCGTCGCCCTCGCCTTCCTTCCCGTCTCCCTTCCCATCTCGCACATTTGTCACCCTCCCATCTCTCCCCCCACTCACTCCCTTCCTTCCACCCAACAATCCCCATCAATCCCCCACTTATACCCCCCCCCTGCCCTGCTTACCTCTCTCCCTATTCCCACCATTCTCTGCCCTGCTCCCCACCATCCTCTGCCCTGCTCTCTCCCCGGCATCTGCCCCCGTACCCCCCATCCCATTCCCTACGTAAACGCGCCCCCCCTGCCCTGCTTCCCCCCATCCTCTGACAAGCTCCTCCCCTGCTCTTCCGCGCACAGGGATAGTGGTCGGTGGAGTAAGACGTGGAGAAGCACAGGGTGAAGGCAAAATGGGGCCGCGGCAAAAAATGAAGATGGGCAGAACTCTCACAAAACTCTCTCACACATCCCCTCTTCCTGCCCTCTCTTGGCCATCCCTCCAAAGGCGATCTCCTCATACCCCCTCCGCTTCTCCTCCGTCCCCCCTCCGCTTCTCCTCCTTCCCCCCTCCGCTTCTCCTCCTTCCTCCCTCCACTTCTCCTCCGTCCCCCCTCCGCTTCTCCTCATTCCCCCCTCCTCCTTCCCCCCTTTGCTTCTCCTCCTTCCCCCCTCCACTTCTCCTCATTCCCTCCTTGTTTTCCCCTCTGCTTCCCCCTATGCAGGGACTTCACATTCTCTCTGTGCTTCTCTGTCCCCTGGTCCCCCCTGGTCCCCCATGCGCACCCCTGTGCCCATCAGGTGGTGGACGAAGCAGGCCGCTTGCTGCCTGTGATACCATAATTGACTGCCGTTCATCCTCACCCTGTGCCCGCTGTGCCCCCTATGTCCCCTCGGCCTCCCCATTCCTCCCCATGCCTCCCCATGCCTCCCTCCGTGCACCCCCTGCACCCCCTCTCGCCCGCATCAGGTGGTGGTGGAGGCGGACCGGCTGCTGCGCCAGTTCTACCACGACTGGCTGCATGCTGACGTGGCAGTGAGCGTGCCAGTTCTGTGCGGCGTCATGCATGCACATGGCGGTGGCAGCGTGAGTGGTGTTCTCCCCACTCCATTCATCCACGGCCTGCAATCTCTGTGAGCCCTCAACAGTCACCTCAGCTCCTGTGCGTTGCTGCTATGTGCCGCTGCCATGCTGGTGTTACCTCATCTGAACGGGAGGCGTCCTCTCGCCCTCCCCATTCCCTTCATCCATGGTTTGTGATCCTCTTGAGCCCTCAGCCGTCACCGGATGCTAAGCGGTGCTGCTACATGCCGCTGCTACGTGAAGATTTGTTTTAAACTGGCTCTCTCAACAACGCTTTCAAGCTAAGCACACCAGGCTCCTTCCGCCATTTTCATGGAGTTTGTTTCGTTATCCTAAACAACACGAGTTGATGGAAGTAAGGCCTCCGCAGCCCACCTGTCCTCTCTTGACAGCACATGCCGCTGCTACGTGCCCGTGCCTTGTGGTTGCTGTGTGCATTTGACCTGCAGCCACTTGACTGACGCTGCTATGAGCCATTGCCTTGCGCTCGTGTCACCTCACCGTGCTTTCACCGTGTTTGTGTCGTTGCTGCATGCGGCGCACAGCCTCTTCCTGCTGCTCTCCGCCTTTCCCCCCGCCTCGCTGCCCTTCGCCTCTGCTGAGTTCTCCTCCCACCAGCCGCAGCTCTAGCGCAGGTTGACTACGATGTTGTGCGTTCAAGACCGGCATGTGTGCTTCACCGAAGTGCTACTTACCAGCTTGAACATAGTGACTTATGAGCTGTATACTCACCACGTATGACTCGCCTTATGCCAATCCACTTGTTGGGTTCTATGGTTGGCCTTGGCGAATTATGTTGCATGTGTTTGGTAGGGACCATAACTTACACACCTAGGTTCATATTGCGCTCACTGCATCTCTTACTATTACCGTACGATATTTGTGAAAATCCTCGTCTGTTACGGTACCCAAATTCCCTTGAAAGGAATAGAGAGGCGTCTGGCTTCGGTTTCTCAGAAGTGCTGCACTCACAACACTGCCAATTGCATAATCGGAAACGTCAGCAGCCACCGCAATAGGGCCCGTATTGACATGTTGCATCACGAAGAAGAGCTCGGGTCAACACCGAGATATGGGCATACACAATACACCCCTTCTACCACTATCATCACAGATAACCCCAGCTTCTTCAGGTACATAGGGAAGCATTTCTCACAGCCGCTAGAGTGCTCTAAGAGTGCCTCTGGCGTGCTGGCAGGCAACAGACTGCCATGGTCACGACTCGCAAGCACTGCAATGTGCAGCACCAGTTGAGGCATGCACAGTGAGCTTGCCTTATGTTATGGCACTACAGCATGTCGGATGGGAGAGAGTGCGAGAGAGCGACGCTCATCACTTGTGCTGGGGGATTCCAGTCGTCGAAGAGCTTGAGCATGCGCGTGTTGCTGCACGCGGGGCAAAGATCACATTTGGCGACGATGGGGCGTGAGTTGGCACTCCCCTAGGCTTGGCAGCGGGTTGACTTGCCAGAGAATGGCGTTATCAGTGATTATCACGTCAAGCCGCTCCTCCAACATGCTCCACGCCACGTACACCTTCCGCCACACCTGCGCGCGGATGAGAAGGGAAGGATTTGAGGCGGTAAAGTGGGCAGGCGGTAAAGTGGACAGGCGATAAAGTGGGCAAGGATGAAGGAAGCAGAACAGAGGATGAGGGGAAGAGAGGGAAGAGGATGAGGGGAAGGGAGGGCACAGGATGAAGGAAAGGGAGGGCAGAGGATGAGGGGAAGCAGGGCAGGGGTAGAGAGGAAGCAGAGCAGAGGGTGGGGGAAAGTAGGTTCAGTGAAATGGCTAACACGGAGACAGGGAACAGGGAGAAAGGGAGAACCAGTGAAGGGGATGGGGGAAAGCAGGGAAGGGGATGGGGGGAAGCAGGGAACAGGATGGGGGGAAGCAGAAAAGGGGTTGGGGGAAAGCAGGGCAAGGGTTGGGGGAAAGCAGGGAAGGGGATTGGGGAAAGCAGGGAATGGGATGGGGGGAAGCAGGGAAGGGGATGGGGGGAAGGAGGGAATGGGATGGGGGGAAGCAGGGAACAGGATGGGGGGAAGCAGTGAAGGGGATGGGGGGAAGCAGGGAACGGGATTGGGGGAAGCAGAAAAGGGGTTGGGGGAAAGCAGGGCAAGGGTTGGGGGAAAGCAGGGAAGGGGATTGGGGAAAGCAGGGAACGGGATGGGGGGAAGCAGGGAAGGGGATGGGGGGAAGCAGGGAAGGGGATGGGTGGAAGCAGGGAAGGGGATAGGGGGAAGCAGGGAAGGGGATGGGGGGAAGCAGGGAAGGGGATGGGGGGAAGCAGGGAAGGGGATGGGTGGAAGCAGGGAAGGGGATGGGGGGAAGCAGGGAAGGGGATGGGGGGAAGCAGGGAAGGGGATGGGGGGAAGCAGGGAAGGGGATGGGTGGAAGCGGGGAAGGGGATGGGGGGAAGCAGGGAAGGGGATGGGGGGAAGCAGGGAAGGGGATGGGGGGAAGCAGGGAAGGGGATGGGGGGAAGCAGGGAAGGGGATGGGGGGAAGCAGGGAAGGGGATGGGGGGAAGCAGGGAAGGGGATGGGTGGAAGCAGGGAAGGGGATAGGGGGAAGCAGGGAAGGGGATGGGGGGAAGCAGGGAAGGGGATGGGGGGAAGCAGGGAAGGGGATGGGTGGAAGCAGGGAAGGGGATGGGGGGAAGCAGGGAAGGGGATGGGGGGAAGCAGGGAAGGGGATGGGGGGAAGCAGGGAAGGGGATGGGTGGAAGCGGGGAAGGGGATGGGGGGAAGCAGGGAAGGGGATGGGGGGAAGCAGGGAAGGGGATGGGGGGAAGCAGGGAAGGGGATGGGGGGAAGCAGGGAAGGGGATGGGGGGAAGCAGGGAAGGGGATGGGTGGAAGCAGGGAAGGGGATAGGGGGAAGCAGGGAAGGGGATGGGGGGAAGCAGGGAAGGGGATGGGGGGAAGCAGGGAAGGGGATGGGGGGAAGCAGGGAAGGGGATGGGGGGAAGCAGGGAAGGGGATGGGGGGAAGCAGGGAAGGGGATGGGTGGAAGCAGGGAAGGGGATAGGGGGAAGCAGGGAAGGGGATGGGGGGAAGCAGGGAAGGGGATGGGGGAAAGCAGGGAAGGGGATGGGGGGAAGCAGGGAAGGGGATGGGTAGAAGCAGGGAAGGGGATGGGGGGAAGCAGGGAAGGGGATGGGGGAAAGCAGGGAAGGGTGACAAGTGTGCACCATGGGAAGGGAGACGGGAGGGATGGCGAGGGCGATGGGGAGAGAGGAGGACGGGGACTGCGAGGGGACGAGCGGGAGGAAGGGCGACGAGACGAAGGGAAGGCGACGGGCGGAAGGGAGAGCGACGGACGGAATGGTGGGCGACCGGCGGAAGGGAGAGCGACGGACGGAAGGGTGGGCGACCGGCGGAAGGGAGAGCGGCGGGCGGAAGGGTGGGCGATGGGCGGAAGGGTGGGCGACGTGCGAAAGGGAGGGCGACGGGCGGAAGGGAGGGCGACGGGCGGAAGGGACGGTGACGAGAGCGACGTTCGGATGGGAGGGCGACGCGTGGAAGGTGGAGCAACGAGCGGATGAGAGGGGACGGGCGAAAGGCAGAGAGACGAGCAGGGCGACGCGCGGAAGGGAGGGCGACGAGCGGAACAGAGGGAGGCGAATGGAAGGGAGCGACGGTTGGAAGTGTGGGCGACAAATAGAAGGGAGCGCGATCGTGGACAACGCACGAGTAACGTGAGCCAAAGAACTGAAAGCGTCGTGGGCAAGTGAGGGCGAATGGGGGAACCTAAGCGACCAACAACCTAGCTCTAGACCAGGGAGAATATAGCAGCAGCATCTTGCGGGTGTTCGAACATGAGTTGTGTGCAAAAACGAAGTGACTTATTGGGCGTGAATGACGGGTGAACTATGTCTAGTATGCTTGACAATTAGTACAAGATGGTTTTCAAGTTCAGTTCAAGTGAACAGTGCTGCCTTGCCTGCTGACCGTAATCTCGATATGACTTTGAGTGTCGCTGGCCAATCACAGATCACTGTCGTGAGAGAATGCTCCACTTCGGGTGGTAACATGGTTTTTGGCGAATTCATATTCAAGAATCTTGAAAATGAAAACAGCCATGTAGTACTCGGGCTTTAAGAATGTTGCATACCCATTTGCATAAGTGGGGTTGAAAATAGACCAAAAGAAAATAGCGGTGGTTGGGTGTAACCAAGTTAGTGCTGGCGAAGTTGACTCTGGTTGGGTTGGAAACTCAGCTCGCGTCACTGCCCCAAAAGCAATTGCACAACACTTTTGGGTACTCGAGACTTTAGATGAGTTGGGGGCATTTTAGGTTTGGCTCCAAACCAAGTTTCAAAGCCTACACGGTTCGGTTACCCCCAGCGATTTACGTTAACTTCTCACCTCTCGCTTCACCCCACTTCGAACCTTACACCTCGCCAACCAATCAAGGCCACACTTTCACGATCAATTGCATAACAGTTGTAGTACGTGAGACCCTAGGTTTAAGGAGGTTTGTTCAAGCACGTATAAATCAAGTACAACTGGGCTCTCCCTATCTTGTCGTGTGTATGTTTGAATCCTTCCAAACAACCTAGCTTGCCTTGCCGATTGCGTTAAGTGTTAATTTGTATACGACCATTCTCATGTAAGGATAGACTTGTTACATGCTTTTGGATGGAGAACGAGGTTCCATGTTCCACGACGCCTCGATGCATCGACTTCTTCATTCGTTATGCTTGCTACTACTCGTGGTCAAGGACTTGTAAATCTTGGAGCACAGTCATTCGGTAAGCTAATGGAACTGGACGACCAGCAACAGCAAGGCCGCGGGTGTAGCAGCTAATATCACGTCCTGTTTAGGAGGAAGTGTGAGGCAATAGCTCAAGAATAGAGTCCATTCCACATAACTCATTCGATATACATTTGTTAGATTGTGTTGCAGTGTATGCAGGGAAGTTGCTGCTTAACGGAATGGGAACCGTTTTTACTGAGCGGGTTGGAACTGGCTTACTGTCAGACGATATAGTCTTAGTGAATTGTGTCATATGGGGTACAATAGTTGGGGTTAGATTTATGTACCCCAACCAACCTTAGTCAAACATCCTTCTGTTATTGACATGGTATCACCTAGGTTAAGATCCAGTGGGATCCCGCTCCTCTCATTTACGTCTGTAGCGCCCGAGCCTGTCCCGTACCCTAGTCTCCGTTACGCCCGTACTATCCCCTAGCGCCTATCGCGCTCGTCTATCTCGTGCCCTAGCGCCCGCTGCACCTGCCGTCGCGTCGCCCCTGCTGTCCCATGCCGTCCCGTCACCCCTGCTGTCCCGTCCCGTCTTGTCGCCACTGCTGTCCCGTCTCGTCCCGTCGCCCCTGCTGTCCCGTCCCGTCTCGTCGCCCCTGCTGTCCCGTCACGTCGCGCCTGTCCCTGGTGTCCCGTCTCGTCGCACTGTCCTGCCGTCCGTCCCGTCCCGTCCCGTCCCGTCCCGTCCGCGTCGCGCTTCCCGTCCCGTCCCGTCGCACGCGCCGTGTGCGTCCTGCCCGTCCGTCGCGCCCCCGCTACGCCCTGCGCGTCCGTCGCGCCCCGTAAACCCTACCCGTTGTCAGAATATGAGATTTGTCTAATCTGTAGTGGGGTACTCTATAGTGAGTACAGCCTGTTTGAGGTTTGCTATTTGTATCCCAACTGCCTGTTAGTGAAACATCTTCCTTTCATTCCTGTTTTACCTAGCTGCTTTGACATGCTATCAGAGCGTCTACGCTCCTGGCCTGTGGGCCCACCTGCTTCCGCTGCTGTACCGTCAGTAACGCACCCCGTGGCACGCGACGTTTTTTCTTCCCGCCACGCGCTCGAGGCGCGTGGCGGTTTTCTGCCCGCCACACGCCCGGGCAGCGCGGCGGTTTCACGCTCCGTCACGGCGCTCCCGAAACCTGCCCGTCGCTCCCCGTCGCCCGTCGCGGTGCCCCCGGGGACCCGTGCGCTCCCCCCGTCGTCCGTCGCGGCGCCCCCAGGGACCCACGCGCGGCCCCCCTTGCCCGTCGCGGTGCCCCTGGGGACCCGCGCAACGCCCCTTGACCCCGTGCGCCGCGGGGATGCTTCCCCCCCACCCCTCCCCTTTCTCCTTTCTCTCCCTCGTGCGCGTGCAGCTATGGGGGTGGTGGGTATGGGGGTGGCGGGCGTGTGAGCTGTCCCCTGCTCCGCCTCCTCCTCCGTCTCCACTGCTACAGATGACGCTGAGGGGGGGTGGATGAGTGGGAGCCGAGGGAGTGGCGCTAGGGGGGTGCCATGGGAGTGGAGCTAGGAGTGCCTAGGGGGGTGTGTGAAAGGGGGTCTGCGATAGTGGGGGAGGTTGAACGGAGGTAGCCGCTGCGGAGCCAGCAGCGCCAGTAGTCCGGATGCCCTTGCTCCGGTAGCCAGCGAGCCCGTTGCGCCAGTCGCCCGTGGGCCCGTTGCTCCAGCCACTCGTCTTAGCAGCGGAGCTAGTTACTCCATTAGTTTGGGGCCCTTGCTTCGGTAGCCCGTGTGCCAGCAGCTTCAGCCGCCACCTCTAATCTCCTCTCCTCTCAAGGTTCCTCCTCCTCCTCACGAGTCCTCTATGTCTCCCACTAGCTTGGCTTGTGCTTGTGAACTTATTATGTGACTGCTTGCTGTGCTTATTATACCCCACTTTGTGTACAGGGGTGTGTCACAATATGATATTTGTCTAGTCTGCAGTGGGGTACTCTATAGTGAGTACAACCTGGTTAGGGTTTGCTATTTGTATGCCTACAACCTGCTAGTAAAACATCTTCCTTTCATTCCTCTTTTACCTAGCTGCTTTGACACCCGTCTGCGCCCGTCTCGCCCGTCCTTGCCAGTCGCGTCCTAACCTGTTGCGTCGCACTGTCTCTCACGCCCTACGCAGGCCCTAAAGGCGATTAGGGTTTCGGCAACAACAGTTCCCACTGCTTCCGCTATGGCGACCCCTAGGGCCCAGCGCTTTGACGCCGAGTGTAGGCCGCTTGAGTTCTCTGTCCGGCTCCTGCGTGCGCGCCGCCTTTTAGAAAGTCAGGGTCAGGCAAATGAGTCTCTATGGGCGCACGCTTCTGGCGCCCTTCTTAAGCCCGACGATCCTGCACCCTTAGGCGCTGACCCTAGCACTGCAGACAGAGACCGTTATGCCCGCCAGCTACTGACCTCACAGCGTGGAAGTCGCGTGACGCTGCGGCCTGCATTGCCCTCAGCTGCCTCCTCCCAGAGTCTGAGGAGGCCCACTTTACTCAGGTTGGTACGGCTCGTGAGTTCATGAATGCGATCAAGGCCCACTACGCTACTCCCACCACTGTCTCTCTTGGCTGCCTGTTCTGAGAAGATGTGAACGAGAATGAATGACTAAGGAATGGAAGTGATACAAATATGCAACCCTAAAAATGTGTACCCCATATGGGCTACCCTACTATAGCCTACACAACATTATAATTTGACACACCCTCATAAGACCAGTCAAGCAAAACAGACAAAGCTCAGGGTGGATCACAAAGTCACCACACAGTCCGAGCACAAGGTCAAGGCCACAAGGCCAGTTCACATGCAGGAGTACACATATATATATAAGGCTAAACAAGCAAGAGCAGGTATATATATATGTAAGAGTACAAGCAAGGTCAAGGGGTGAGCAAGTGAGGCAAGACAGGCACAAGACCCAGCTGAGTGCAGAAGTGCTGATGATCACAAGGCGAAAGTGCCTTGGTGAAAACATCAGCAGTGTTGGCCTCAGAAGCCACGAACGCAAGTCGCAACTGACCACGCTGCGGCAACTCACGAGGAAGAAAGTAGCGGAGAGCAATGTGCTTTGTTCTGTGCTCCAGGCGCTGCTCCCGACACAAGGCTAGCATGGCCTTGTTGTCTACGTACAGGACTGGAGGAGAACGAGGCGGCTCTCCGAGGTCAGTCAGCAGGTAGGTGAGCCAGCGAAGCTCCTATGCAGCCATGGCCCCGGCGTAGATCTCAGCCTCACAATTGGAGCCGAGAACAGAAGACGAGCGAGTAGCCCGCCACGAAACAGAGCCGGAACCAAGGCTGAAGGTGTAACCCTGTGACGACCACTACGTAGCCTGGTCGTCTGCCCAAGAAGCGTCCGCGTGCCCAGTGAGGACCACTGGACTTCGCCCTCCAAGCACTAGCCCCATGCCCGACGAACTGCACAAGTAGCGCAACACCCTCTTCGCTGCAGCCATGTGCTCTGGTCGGTGTCTCCCAGGAGCAACATAGCGTGCGAGAATGCTAAGAGGGTATGCAAGGTCAGGACGAGTGCAGGTCATCAGGTACATGAGGCAGCCAACAAGCTCTGGGTACGGGCCACTCGACTCTACGGACTCATCCGAAGGCAGAGCTGAGAGCGAGTGGCGAGTAGACAGAGGAGTGGCCTGAGGCGAGGAGTACGTGAAGCCGAAGCGCTGAAGAACCTGCTGCACCATGTGTGACTGAGTCAGAGTAATGGTGCGGCGTGCTCTGTCCCGGGTGATCTGCAAGCCAAGGTAGCTGCGCAGTTCACCCAGGTCTGTGCACGTGTGTCTCTTCTGCAGGTCGGACTTCACGTGG